TATTCTTCTTTGTTTTTTTTCCCCATAAAGGATTCACCCAATTTTTTTTCCTCTGGAAAGGGAGAGCAAAAGTCCCCTTCTTTGCTTGGGGATTTCTTGCTTTATGGGAGTTTGTCTTATCCAGGAGTCAAATATCATAGTAGAGAGAGAATTAATAATCTCATCCAGTACCACACATGTTGTTTAAAATGCTGATAATGCTGGTGTTTTCTTTATTCGGTTGTCAATGGCTTGGCTAGCCATAAAAGTGCAGCTAGCCTTTCCCCTGCCGGTTTGGAGGGCTTTCCTTGGATCAAACGGATTGACAGTTGTCTTTCTGTGATCTACGAGGGTCACTTCCATTGCCCCTCCAGGGCGACTTTAGGCCCATTTAGAGCCTCCTGGCAGGGCGGAATCAGCCGTGGGAAGCAGAGCCCCGCTTTCCTTCAGCTGTGATACCATGATGCAACCGGAAGTCCACCTTTTGCAATTTTCTGACAAGCAAAGTCAATGGGGAGCCTGATTCACTTAACAACCATGTCACTAACTTAACAACTGCAGTGATTCACTTAATTATGGCAAAAAAAGTTGTAAAATGGGACAAAATTAACAACTGTCTCATTTAAGGAACAGAATTTTTTGGCTCAATTGTGGTTGTAAGTCGAGGATTACCTGTGTATTTGCCTAATAAATATGCCAACTTCCAGTATCTTTTGGAAATTTGGCAGCTCTAAAGGTTTCCTTCAGCACTATTAAGGTGGAGAGTAGTAACCGCGAGAGGGATCTTGAGAGTCCTAGTTGACAATCTCTTAAATATGAGCCAGCAGTATGTTGCAGCTACCGAAAAAGCCAACATGGTCCTAGGCCAGTGGTGGCGAACCTATGGCACGGGTGCCAGAGGCGGCACTCAGAGCCCTCTCTGTGGGCACACGCGCCATTGCCCCTGTCCTAGGCCTTCAGCTGGGTTTTATAAAACCTTTTCGCTTTAGGCCTCTGCCGCCGTGTACAAAAAAAAAAAAAGGTTCAATCAATCAATTTCAACTTCTGGCGGGAAAAAAAGTTCTTGTAAAGTTGGAATTGATTGATTGAACCTTTTAGTCCCATCCAGTCTGCTGTTACCACTGCAGCCATGCCCATCCAATTGGCCATGCCCACCCAACTGGCCACCCCCAGCCAATGGGCCGAACCCACCTGGCACCCGACGATGCATAAGTGGGTTTTGGGTTGCAGTTTGGGCACTCGGTCTCTAAAAGGTTCACCATCACTGTCTTAGGCCCACACATAACTACTGAGCTAGTTTTTAGCTTGATTTCTCAGTTAATTTCTGCCTTTTAAGTACGAAAGGGCTATATCTGGTTCACCAAACACCGTTATCTCCTGTTCCCTAAGGTTTGAGAAAAATTAAGATTTAGAAATTGCAACTTGAGAGAAAAAAAGCTGACAAATATGAATTGTACCATCTTTGGAATTCTTTACTGATATTATTATTATTATTAGGAATCAATTAGTGAATGATTAATCAATTAGAGATGAAGCAGTAGTTGTAATAAAGGCTGCAATGTGAAGAAAGGGCCAGGCTCTGAGCTCATTTCCCAATAGCTACTTTCTGCTGAAGATTAAGAAAATAGGAAGAAATCTTTCCTGATATCAGAATATCAGAATGACAAAATAATAGAATAACAGAGCTAGAAGGGACCTTGGAGGACTTCTAGTCCAATCCCCTGCAACATTTCAGATCTCTTCTTTAAAACCCCACAACTTCTGGAGGCAAGTTGTTCCACTGATTAATTCTTCAAACTGTCATGAAATTTCTCCTTAGTTCTAGGTTGCTTTTCTCTTTGGTTAGTTTCCATCCATTGCTTCTTGTCCTGCTTTCATGTGCTTTGGAGAATGCTTTGATCTCTTCTTTGTGGAAGCCCCTTAGATATTGGAACACTGTCATCATGTCATCCCTAGTCCTTCTTTTCATTAAACCAGACATACCCAATTCCTGCAACTGTTCTTCGTATGTTTTAGCCTCCAGTCCCCTAATCATCTTTATTGTTCTTTGCACTCTTACTAGAATCTCAACATATTTTTTATATCCTGGCTACCAAAACTGGATGCAATATTCCAGGTGTGTTCTTACCAAAGCATTATAGACTGGTATTAATACTAAACATGATCTTGATTCTATGCCTCTGTTAATGCAGCCTAGGACAGTGATGGCAAATCTTTTAGAGACCGAGTGCCCAAACTGCAACCCCAAACCCATTTATGGCCCACTGGGAGGGCATGGTTGTGGTGGTCATGGCAGATTGGGTGGATGTAGCCAAGGTGGGTATGGTCACCTTTATTTTGCTCATGTGGAGGGATGCCTATGGGAGCCGGGCAGGGTTGGGGGAGATCCAGGGGGTCTCTGGCAGGTGGGGGCGATGGGCAGGAGGCTCATCCTGCGGGGTGAGGCAAGGAGAGGCAGGGCAGGGGTGCCATTGTCACAGGGCAAAGCGAGGCAGGGGCCAGGGCGGCTGCTGCCTGACACCATCAGCCCTTGCATACAGAGGCCAGCGAGCGCATGGGTGCTGGGATGCATCCGGCCATGTGGGACCTTGGTAAGTTAGCAGGCGGCTAGTTGAAGAGGGACGGTTGCCAACTCTGGGGCATGGCGCACGTGTCCACAGAGAGGGCACTGAGTGCCGCCTCTGGTACGCGTGCCATAGGTTTGCCACCACTGGCCTAAGAGTTGTTATTGCAAAGTCAGCCCAGTAGCTACAAAACATGGCCAATAGACTTACCCAACATAATCATACAAAAAAGAACTGTGGGTTTAGAAGAACATTTTTTTGAATTCCCAATTCAGTTATAGGCACGATCCTGATGAATAGGCATCTGTGTGAATGGCTGACACATCAAATTAACTATTCACTGACAACATCATGCACAAAATCGCATCCTTTCCCTAGTTGTTGGCAAAAGATATTAACATAATGTACAGTGAATGAACGACTATTTCAGGTGTCCACTGTCAATCATTTGAAAGATTTAGTGTGACCAACTCCTCAAAGGAAAATTAATATTTATAGGTTAGTTGTTCTATGTGCAATAGATGTGACACCTATCATTAGTTTTTGCAATTCGTGGTAACTAGAGAATTTTCATTATCAGTTTCACTCTTTCCAAAAGGATGGAAACATAAGAGTAGCACACAATATAAACCAGAAGTTACTAGACCATCACACTTTAATTATATGTAGAACCCTAGCTTAAAAGTGTTGCGTATTATATTTCTTCCATAATAAAACTTAGCAATGTTTCATTATCAAGAATAGATTTGAAAAGTTGTTGCTTTGAAATACAGTTCAATGTGGCATCTTGTAAAACAGGAAGGAATAACATTTGCTATATCACTTACATAGCAACTTAATGAAGATATATTCTAAATCATTTACATAGTATCAACTATTGACTTAGTCATGTTTTCTATTAAATCATTTTAACTTCAATTATAAGCTTTGCCCTTTGTGTTTTTTTGTTTTACATTATTTGTTAAAATGAAAAACAAAAAGAAAACACATTAGTGATTAAATAGTGAAAAGCAAATCCTAAATACGTTATAGTCATTTAAAAAGTTAAAAGTAATAACCTCCCAATTAATTAACTAAAAAAGATATATTACATATACAAATACCTATATAAAATTAATTCAACTGTTAAACTCATCATATAGCAAACATATAGCAACATATAATGTCATGTTCTCATTTTAGAATACAGAAACTTTTCAAAACCCTTTATTCTGTCTTTCTGGACATGTTTACAACAATTTATCATATTCACTGCTTTAGTTATACAATGAAATTTTATTTTAAAATGTGTCCTTCCCTCCTGTAGACTGTCACCAGATATAAGAGGCAAATCCTGATGTTTAATATTTAACAATTTTTTATAAGCATCATTTTTCAAATATGTATTTAGGGACTAAGGGAGAATGGAAAAGCTACCTGAGCTTAGGATAATCTAGTTGCTTTGATGTTATAAAGTTTTTTGTTTATAATGCTTTTTGCACTGCATGCAGAATTGTGTTTTTTCTCCCAAGGAAGTTTTATGATTGGCTTAGCACATATAGTACATTTTGAGCACTCAAGTAAAAGAGCATTTGGCAACTTAACTGTTTATTAAACTGTTAGCAAGAATAATTTTGATAAGAAAAAACCAGCCTGATTAATCTGTCTTCCTCCATTTACTTTTTTTTTGGGGGGAGGGGTAGTTGGAAATTGGAAAGCAACTAGAAGGGAAAGAAGGTAGAGATCAATTTCCTGGGAAAGTATAAGAGATTCCTTACTTACTTCCAATCCACTCTCCTTTTCATGTTTTCCTTTAATTGGATGAACCGGATTTTGGTGTCTGCCTCTCAAAATCTACTAAATTCTAGAATTAGCCAGTCAGAATTTGAGTTTTCCTTTCTCTGTTAAAGTTTATTGTAAGATTTACTTACAGTGACATTCGGTTCTTAAGATTTGTAATAAGAATCAATTGAGAATTGTATCCTGCCACCTTTACCAATAATAAATGCATCCCCAGATTAAAATTGCCATAATGTTCAATAGCATGGCTCACTGGATTTTATGTAAATTGATCAACAAAACTGGAGAGGAGATGCAAATGTCTGGATGGTTTGCACCTAAAGATAAGAGTATTTGTGAATCTGTGAAATACCTCAGTGCCTTTTGAACACAAGGAAGTTGAAGTTATAATAATGGGAGACTGCAGCATTGACTGGAGAGGTGGTAGGTGCTCTAGAGCAGAGGTCCCCAACCCCCAGTCCGTGGACTGACACTGGGCTGCGGCATGCCAGAACCAGTCTGTGCAAAGAAGCAAAGCCCCATCTGTGGGATGCAGACAGCATGCGAAACCACGGCCCCTCAGGTGGGTGGAAAAACCTCTCTCCATGGAACCGGTCTCTGGTGCCCAAAAGGTTGGGGGCTGCTGCTCTAGAGCCCACATGTGTTGAGTTTCCAATACTTGCAGCACACTATACTCACCAATAAAGAATCTTTTATCACACATGCCATCTCTTCCATTGACCTTGATTGACTTGATATTAATTGTTCAATATTTCGTAGTATTGCCTTCTCTAGACTAGGAAGGTGACGAAGCCATAGTTGCAGAACAGCAGTTTCAGATAAGGAGATATTTTTCCTGTATTAAAAAAAGGAGTTGATATTTCTGTATATATTTCACTAAAGTATTGTGCAATTCTTGCCTTTCTCCCTATTTTTATCTGTTTCCAAAGAGAAATGTTCTTTTAGTGTCCCTTGCTACAAGTGATATTTTTGAACTTCATTCCAAATTGGGAGGATATGGTGCTTTGGAATACAATTTATGCAGTCACTGGACTTCCCATCACTTTATTTTAATCACCTTTGAAAATATCAATCTTTAAGAAAACAATGGCACAGTTTGTTTCTCAGCATTTCAAAACAAAGATGAAATTCATACCAAAGAACTAAGCAATTAGTACAATGGAAACTTTGCTTGGTAAAAAAATCAAAGTATGGCCAGAAATAAGTTCTCTGCATTTTTTTTTTACTATGGAACAAAAGAAATACCAATGCTCCAAAATCTATCCATTCTTTCTCTACAGAATTAATATCACACTATTAAAACTTGAGTAACTACTGCAAACTGCTAGCTTTTTTCCCCATGACCTTTTCCTGCTCATTATCTGGCAAAGTCATTTTTGTTTTCCCTTCCTCTATATTACTACAGGTAGTCCTCGACTTATGATCACGATGGAGACCAAAATTTCTGTTGTTAAGACATTTGTTAAGTGAGTTTTGTGCCATTTTATGACCTTTCTTGCCACAGTTGTTAAGTGAATCTGGTTTCCCCATTGACTTTGCTCATTAGGTCATAAAAGATGATCACATGATCTTTGGACAGAGCAACGGTCATAAATATGAACCAATTGCCAAACATCTGAATTCTGATCACATGATTAAGGGGATGCTGCAAAGGTCGTAACTGTGAAAAATGGTCATTCAGTGCTGTTGTATCTTTGAACGATCACTAAATCAGTGGTTCTCAACCTGTGGGTCGGGACCCCATTTGGGGTCGAACGACCATTTCACGGGGGTCACCAAACAAGGCTGTCCGCCATTTTTTCCCCTTTTCTTTGACCACGCCCCTGGCACCCGGTGATGTATAAGTGGTTGGGGGTCACCACAACATGGGGAACTGTATTATGGGGTCGCGACATTAGAAAGGTTGAGAACCACTGCACTAAATGAACTGTTGTAAGTCAAGGGCTACCTGTATTGGGTACAGTTTATTTCTCCATATTTAGGGTTTTGATTTCCCCCAATTTAGCATGGTATATGATCTAATGTGTGTATGCTACACTTTCCCAAAAGATTATATATATATATATATATATATATATATATATATATATATATATATATATATATACACATACATAACCATCATGCTACAGTAATCCCTTTCAAGGTATGAAATGTTATGCAAAGCACACATTTGGGTTCTAAGTCAACAAGGCATCATCTGCATACAAAAATACAAGTATTATGTCACCAAGCAACACACTGACGTCAAATATTTTTATCCATAGTGTGTGTGTGTGTGTGTGTGTGTGTGTAAAAAATAAACCTTTCTTGCTATAGTTGTTAAGTGAATCACTGCAGTTAGTTCTTGACTTACAACCATCATTTAGTGATAGCACTGTGAAAAGTGATTTAAAACCTTTTTTTCACACTTACGACCATTGCAATCAAGTTGTGGTCAAGTGATCAAAATTCAGACGCTTGGCAACTGGTTCATATTTATGATGGTTGCAGTGTCCCAGAGTCCTGTGATCACCTTTTGTGAACTTCTGATAAGCAAAGTCAATGGGGAAGCCAGATTCACTTAACAGCCAGGTTACTAACTTAACAATTGCAGTGATTCATTCAACGACTGTAATAAGAAAGGTCATAAAATGGGGCAAAACTCACTGTCTCACTCACTCAACTGTCTCACTTAGCAACAGAAATTGGGGGCTCAATTGTGGTTGTAAGTCGAGAGCAATTGTAACATGGTTGTTAAATGAATCTGGCTTCCCCATTGACTTTTGCTTGTAGGCATCTCCATTAGAGACTCTATCCTTTTTTTCCAGTACATCCTATTAACCAAACAGAAAGGTTGTGGAAGAGAAACAGCAGGAGGGACTGATCATTTTAGAGCAGTAGCAAATAATCATGGTGTCCTCCAAACATATTTGATAATTGCTTCCCTCATCCCCAAGCAGTGGGGTCACTGATCACACTGGCTGGTGGTAATGCTACGTTTAGTTTAACACATTGGAATATCCTAGATTGAAGAAGACTTCCCTTAAAATATGGGTGTGCAAAACAATAACTCCATTTAACTCTGAACAAAATCTAAAATAAAATGTGAATTTGTTATTTATTGTATTGTGATATAGAGATTTCTACTCTTTCCTGGAAAAAGAAAACACTTTCAGCATATTTCTATAAGTGGCCAAAAGGCATTTATCTCTACTGAATATATAGATGAGACTAATATTTTATGTTAGGCTAACATTTTTCAAAAGTATCATCTGATTCATCATTACAAAAAACATCATAGCAGTGGCACACAAGTTATTTCACAAATAAAACACATTCTTTCTCAATTTACAAAATGAAATCCATCTGTAGAAATAGATTTCCAACATTTGCATCAATTATGCAGAATGCGTATTGTTCAAGAATTAGGATATTAACTTGTTTATATTATTATGTTTATTTTTAATTTGTTTATTTTTATGTTAAAGGGGAGTTAAAGCGCATTATGGACTTGGTTATTTATATAGTTGGTTAATGTTAGTTAGATTATGATTATTATATTTGTTACCCTGTACTCAGCTCTGGGAAGTGGGGGAGAGAGGGGTTTTTTTTTAGGGTGGGTGGGTTTTGGGGTGTATATTGTAACTTTTATAAAACTTTTCAATAAAAAAAAAATTATGCAGAATGCACAAAAGCTCATCAAATAAAGGAATAATCAAGATAGTTTATGAAAAAAATAAGCAAAACCATGTCTGAGAACCTATCCATAAACTATTAATAGATCCTAATAAATTCTTAGCCCAGCACAGATATATAAAATTAATTTTCAACAAATAGGGTTACTGAATTAGCATTTTTGTTCGTAGACAAGAAAAGCTTCTTATTTTGGAGCCTACTTACCGTAGTATAGCCTCATTCACTACTTCTAAAAACTGAGAGTGAAGCACTTCTTGTGGTCCATGATCACGATAGTTAAGGAGAGCTTCAATAAGTGGTTTTATATCAGGCAGAGTTATAAGAGGTACACAGAGAAGAGACATGGATGTTACTCGACAAGACATGCTGTAGAAACAAAATCAGACCTCTTACATAGAAGAAACTTTTAACTGGGAGCTGGGCAGTATATACATTTAATTTTTTTAAAAAAGATTAAATTGTTCATTAAATACACATTGTCAAGAAGTTCTGTTTACAAAATGGCAAACTTACAGCACATAACCTGCCTATGTACTAAGCTCTTCACAAGGCTGCCAGATTTTGTGTGGCAGTGTGTAAAATCAGGCAGACTAACTAAAAACAAATGAACTTGCCTGAGGATAGAGAGACAGATTTGGCTTAGGCTCAGCATTAACCGTTGGTTACTTTTTAACTTCTTTTTTTATACTTTGGTATGTAGATGCCATGTCAACTATTGTGTATGACAAAAGTCTGTAAGAGAAATTTATAATCCTGAAATCCCTTTGGGATGATTTTATTTTTTTATCTATCAGTATTTTTTATATTTGTTGCTGTTTTAAAGTTTATATTACTAGTATTGCTCATTTTAATCTCTTTTCTGTTTTGTCATACATGTGTAGCCTGAGCAAGCATCCTAGTTTTTTTTTTATTTAATAGTATTTTAGCCAAAATGCTTTGTTTATATGCACCTTTCTTACTTAGCTTGATAGTGTCAATTTAGTTTTCAGTATTTGAATACCAATTCACTTAGGCTGCTTCATGACTGCAATAAAGTTTTTTAGCAGTGAGCTTTAAACTTCATTCTTTCCCTGCTGTAACTAGAAACATTCATAATGGGGCGGGGGGAATTAAGAATTTTAGTCCAATATATCTGGAAGCATTAGGTATTTCTATATGGCAAACATGACAACCCAAGTCTCCAAGCCACTTTTGATTATAGTTGCTGAAAACTTCAATTTTTAGCTGAGTAAACACTCAACATTAATATTAATATTACTTTAAAAATAAGTATTTAACATTAGTGTCTGTGAAGAGGGGGAAGAGTTAATATGGCAATCAATGCTTGCAGAAAAGGGTTAGGGCTTCAGTCTATGGACTGCAACCACATCTTGATCTTTTTTGCTCCCACCATGGATGTCTTTGCTGTCAAAAAACTATTGAAATTCTTCAAAAATTCCTGGCTATATGTACTATAGCATCACCAACTCTAAAAATATTAAGAATGGGTCCTGGTCATCCCATCATAGGTACTACTACCTTTAAAAAAAATCAAGGCAGACAACCCACCTGAAACCAGGAGAGAAAGTCCAATGGATGACAAATTTTATCTGCCCTTTCAATGTTAAAATTGGTGAAAAATTAGGACCACAAAGCAATTTGAGGACTTTCTTCGAGCTGTTTTTATATTATTTGTAACATGTATAATTTCTATAAATAAATAAAACCATGCTTACGCATGGTTTCGTATATGTCTATGTAATGTTAATAAGTTTCAGTCTTAAGTATCTTTCCATAGAACTTTATTTGCACTAGTTACTTATATAAAGTTCTATTAATAATAATACCTACGTTTGTTTACCATTAAATCCATTAACTTGGGTTCTGCTGAGTTCCGTCACTAACGATGAGACTATCTGTTAAATAAATATAATTATCAACTTAAAATAATATCAAAAACCATACAGTAATGATTACATCAGCGATATTTTCTCCCTGTTGAATTTGTGCTTCCAGGTAAATGAATAATCTATTTGTTAAGGCCTGAAAGATGAGAAAATAATTTCTCCAAATTTACTTTATGACAAAGAAACAATTCAAAATAGCTTTTCCTTCTAAGAATGAAAATTACCTTTTGCTTTCTCTGTTTAAATTCTAGTTCTAACAGTGTCCTATAAAGATATCCATTCCAGGTTTTTGTCATTAGGTCCTAGATGTAATATTTACATCTAATTTCATTATTAATAACTATTATGACTATTAATCAAGTAATAATAGAGTATATTTGATATGATGGACTATATCAATCTTCAGCATTTACATATTTAATTGGTTCACCAGTAAACAAGTATAATAAAAAGCTAACTATATATAGAAAAAAGGAGAATTGTGCATGGTTTAAAAACATGTTAAATCCAATTTAGTTTTCATTCTAGCTCCATCCATTGCTTTGTCTTGGTCTTTCTCATTTTGGCCACAGAAATTACCCTCTAGGCAAGAAAAACTGGAGTGGAAATAAAGAACTTGCTCTACAATCATTCCCATTATATTCTTTACAAAGAGACAGCTATTATCAATCATGTTTAGCAAATCAGCTCTTTGCTAAATAGGATCTGCTGGCTGATCTTTTATGCTGTAAGTCAAAACAGTCACATTCCTCCATTTTGTGAACTGGTAGAAACAAGTAATTTGTTATTCATGAGAATTAGAGACAACTAACAATACTGTAGATGCCTGACAACTTGGAGGAAAATGGTAGCTACTCTCTATGTGTCAAAATCAGGGGTAAATGAATATTCACTTTGCCGAATTGCCAACTTATACAAAATACTCACATTTTCAATGACTTTAGAGTAGTAATCTACTGAGGTGAAGCCAAGAGTTGAAATAAACTTATTAATATCAGTACCATGATTTCCCAGTCCACAAAACGATAGCAGATGGCACAATGAGTTCTAGAGGGAACATGTCAACAGAGGAAATAATTAAAATATATTCCACCAAAAGTTAATTTTATCTTATATGAAAATGGGGAAAGAATACATCGTGTTATAGCAACAATAATATGACTTCAATATCTAAAATATGAAAAGGCATGTTTGACTTAATAGAATACAGGAATCTACTGAAAGAAACCAGTCCAAATACATTCAGTAATAAACTTGCCTTGAACTGATTCAGTTATTCAGACTAATATACTTTTTGGCATAAAGAATAAAAATAGAGAATATTTTTTGAAAAAGATATTGTACAAAAGAAAAACATAAATAAAAGTGGAAAAGAGCAACATCCAACTCTTGTTTATTATATTTTTGTGGAATATTAGTTGGGCAGGTTAGATACTTCATAGATGTATTTAAAAATTAAGTATATATTTTCTACAGAATAGTTGTTTTACTGCCACCTAGCGGCATACATGTCAAAACTGGCACAATTTTTAAATGTGGTTTGAATTTTTAAAACAAGACTGAATGAACATCACAGTGACAAAAAGTTAAATGACAATGTACAAATCTGATAAACAGATAAAATCAATAAATAGTGTGTTAATTCTATAGCAAAACCTATTATCCAGTAGGGGAAAATGGTGTTTATTTATATGTTAAATATAAATAATATAAATAAGGCACACATGGAACAATTACCTTCCCGCCGAAGTGGTACCTATTTATCTACTTGCATTTGCATGCTTTCAGACTTTAGGTTGGCAGGAGCTGGGGCAAGAACTAACCCAGTCACTTGGTACAGGTGGAATACTGGAGGTAACATCACTCCTTTGCTTAATCTCATATACATGATGTACAGGTAGTCCTGCAACTGGAACCGGGATTGCCATTTCTAAGCAATATAGTCATAAAGGTGACATCATGTGACTGTATCGCTTACCAACGACAATCCCAGCTATCCTAGTTGCCATCCTGTTAAGCAGGAAGATGTAGAGGTCTTAGATAGGGAATGCAGGAGTTATGTGTGAGCGTGCTGCAGAAGCATTAGGAAGTGTAGTTGGTGTTGGAGTCCATAGGCAGGCTGGCTGGCATGAGTCATGGCTGGCCTGGCAAGGGCCATAGGCATGAAAGCCAACACAGGCTGCAAGTGGGCGAATGGGGGCTGCAGGCGGGTGCACATTATGGAGTATGGCTGGTCATGGGACCTTTGCTAAGGAATACAAGATTCCCCGGGACCTCATACTCTGTAGTGCGGCTGCTTGGGAGAAAAAGCTGCAAAAGCAACTTACGATATTTCCCGCTGCCTTCCTGTTTGATTTTTCTTGTGGAAAGTTGACAGGAAAGATTCCCCTCATTCAGTGTCGTCATAATTTTGAATTATTACTGAATGAGTCGTCATATGTTGAGGATTACCTGCAAACATGTGGAGTGAACATGCTGCTTTTGTTCGCTACATCGGTGAATGTTGGTTTCTGTTGAGATTCAGTGTGTGTGTGCGCGCACATGCATTTTGTAGATGATGTCTTCATCTTCAAAGACACCAGCTATGCAATCAACAGAATAGAAGAGCATGCAGAGTACACACAAATTCAGTAAGACATCATCAAAATAGTTAAATTATTATTACCCTTTCCACAAAAACATCTGTTAATGGCTTGTTCAGGTCTGGTTGGTTCTCCTGTGATTTTTAACTTTGAGTGCATTTCAGAAATAAATAGTAATTGGCTCTTAAAAGAGTTTTTTATGTTGGTGTCATAATTTATTCATAACTGTACTCCATGCCCTGCACTCTTGTTTCTTCTTGCTTATGGAGATTCCAGAGCTCATTCAAAATTCACACATGCACAAAAGGCTTTATATTGTTAAATGTGTGTTCGTGTTTATGCTCTTGTGAACTGTTGGTGCAGTCCATGGAACATTTAGCTTCAAAGGCATGTTTGAAGTTGTTGGTTTGACTTGTTTCCTATGGTTCTTTTATCCCTTTAGCATTTCAAGTGTAAAAAGTTGTTGTTTTCCTGAGTAAGGGTATCTCTATGTTCCATAAATACTCTTGTTATTGTGTGCTGTTCAGAACTCTAAAGATGTAAATTAGGGATTTCTTGTATTTCCCAGGGTGGGGCCTTTCTCCTCAACAGCAGCTTTTCTTCTTTTTTTCTTTACTTTCTTTCAGGTTGAAAGTGGGTTTTTTTTTTTCAGTCAGGTAAATGGAAAAAAATCTGTAGGTAATCCTTTGAATGCTGACATTCTTACAATTAATTTTATACACCACCGCAGATCTCTGGTACAAACAACACGTGTCTCTTTGCCATACATTAGCAATGTCTCCAAGGCAACGGCTAGATTGTTGGCCCCCCACAATACAAAGGTGACTCACAAGCCTAGCCAGACATTGCGATCAAAAGTCATGCACCCCAAAGACCCACTTCCCACTGCAGAGAGATCTGCGGTGGTGTATAAAATTAATTGTAAGAATTGCCAGAGCAATTACGTGGGCGAAACATCAAAAAGGTTAAAGACCCGCCTACATGAACATAAATTGGCGATTAAGAGGGACGAGCAATATTCGCAAGTCTGGGCACATATGGCTGAACATGACCACCAATTCGACTTTGACAATGCACAAATTCTATCTAGGGGGCCGACTGTTAAAAGAAGCCTGGTTTTCTGGAAAAGACTCAGTTAATCGCCACATAGACCTCTGTTCGGCACAGCAAGCATTAGAACATGGTGTATGAATCATCATCACCCCAATCATTGGAAGGAACCGAAACACAAGCTGTGTGACCTAGGGAAGAGTGTTGCACCTAATCCCTCACGTGATCGAACTAACAAAACTCTAACTAGCTCTCCGCGAACCATGAACACTCCCCTAATGCCCGACCAACAACGGAATAGTCCCGACCAACAGCTGTTGAACCCGATACGGAACAACAAAGATCCGGGGAGGACTGAGAGATCAATTAGGGATGAAGGGAGGAGGAAAGGGGAAACATGTGACTTGCAGGATTCCCTGTTGCAACCTGGAGGAACGTCACACATGGAGTGGGGGGACGATGCCCAGAATAATAGAGTGAGACCCAGGGAGCCGGATGATAGACCAGCAGAGGTAAAGACCAGAGGCGATGGCAAAGATAGATTACCCGTGGGTAGAGCCGGCAGACATGCGATGACAACTCGATTGCGCCAGAAAGGAGAGAGATATTTTGCCAGATGATTTGATGCGAGAACACAGGGTCATGAACAAAGAACATCCACAACTGCGGCAGAGGAATCCTCCCGCAAAAAACAAGTACAAGGGATCTGTGCCGAACGGAGAGAATGGTTACCAACAGTGAACTGGATGGCAAAGTACCATTGATAGGGCGGCGACAAGGAACGTCTCGGGTGAATGTGAGGAAAGAGATGACAAACTGAACAATGGGCAAGCAAGGACTACTCACGTAGGAAGAGACAGCAGAGTGGATGGTGCAGAACGAAGGGAGACGCCCGAGTTGCAACTGCAAGGGGCGAGGAGGACCAACCAGAGCCTAATTGGGGCGTGTGGTGAGACTAAGAGAGAACTGAACGGCCCGCACCTCAGACCCCCTGACAAAGAGAACGGCGCACAAGGGAATGGGGGAATAGAGACAGCTACCACCCAGAAGGGATGGGGGAGGGCCCCACTCAGCCCCAGAATTAATGATGGAGGAGCGCACAGTAGCACACGGAATAGAAACAGGAAAGGGCCATGTACTGACGAAAGGGACATACTTAGAGTGCAATTCGATCAGCTGGGAGCAGTGACGCTGTCCAGAAGCCGGATGCAGGCATCTAGTGATCACATATAAGCTTCTTCCCAACGACTGTGATCACATATAAGCTTCTTCCCAACGACTGCTTTTAACCCTGACGATGTCAGAAGCTATATAAATAAATAAATAAATAAATAAATAAATAAAATAACGATCACTAAGAAAGTAAGAAAATAGAATTTAATCAACCTAGCTTTCGTCAATAGAGTGCAGGAAAGGAGCCGGAAACAGGCGTTTAGTGATCATATATAGGTTCTCTCTCAGCGTTTGCCTTTTAACCCTGACGATGTTGAGAGTTATCGACGAAAGCTAGGTTGATTAAATTCTATTTTCTTACTCACTCTTTTGGTGATTGTTATTTTAGCAATATGGACATACCCAAGAGTCAAATTTTTACTCATATTTCTATATATCTTTTACCAGATTGCCTGAAATTCATTTAACATTTTTGAGCAGAATGTTCCTATCAGGTATGAGCTGCTCAGTGGCTGTTGAAGGCAAGTTAAGAGGCATTCTGAGGAAAAAAACTGATTAAATTTATATGAAGGACAATATGTCATGAAATGAAAGATAATAATACGCATGGATGTTGCATGACTTCATGGATGTTCTATCTATTGTTCTGGATGGCACTGTTCTTCACCCAATGCAGCATCTACACAATAAAAAGGCTCCTGCTAAAGCAGCAGATAGAGCAGGCATGTCAAACTTGCGATGTCACATGATGTCGTGCGACTTATTGCGACTTTTTCCCCATTGCCGGCAATGGGGTAGGCACGGTTTCGGCTTGATGCATCCGGCCCATGGGCTGGCAGTTTGACATGCCTGAGATAGAGGATATGAGCAGGAGAGCTTTTAGCCAATCAAACAATTGCATTCTTTCCTGGATCAAAAGATGTGGGAAGTAAGTCACTTCCTTGTCATCTTTTGATTAGCCTACATGCAGTCCTTGCCTAACAACTGCTGTTTTGCGACCATTCAAATTTCCAGCAGTACTAACAAAGTAACCTTACTACTTTTCTGTATTGTTTTCCTTCCATGGTCAGATTTTTTTTATGAGGAGTTTGTTTTGAATCCTATTTAGATTTCTGATAACCCACAACACAAATAAATTGAAACAATTTAAGATTTTCTGCCAAAACAATGAACAATAAATTCTTTTCAAATTTTGTTCCTGTTAAACCATAATTAGCTTGAAAAGATTTTTAAAAATTTCCA